ACACACACACACACACACACACACACACACACACACACACACACACACATCCAGATGTATGAAGGACGTAACTAAGAAAAACATAATTGAAAAATGTAGTAAGATACTAAGGAAGAGTGCTTTCAGTACTTTACAGTGTAAAGATATTTTGATGGAGGTTCATCTTGCAGCTGGTGGGAAGGCTCCAATGTTGAGTTCTTCCTCTATCTAATTCTAAAGCACTTTCACCACCCATTAAGGCAACTCCATTCCCAGGAAGCTGTCGCCTCCTGCTCTCCTCCAGTCTTTAACAACCCCTGCTCTTTTCTCCTAAGATTATGTATTTTGAATATAATTCATAAGAATGGTACCATCACATGTGGACTTCTGAGTCCCTCTGCTTTCATTTACTACACTCTTTTAGAGCTTCATCCACACGTGCTCATGTATGTTCATGACTGAATAGTATTTCTTTGTATGGCTATGCCACAACTCATTTATCCATTCAGCCATTGATGGATAGTTGAGTGGTTCTTGCTGATCTCAAAGTTGCTAGTTATCGAAGGATGACTTTGATTTGAGGAGGTCCTCTGCATCCTGAGTGCTGGGATTATGGGTGCGTGTCACCTCAACCAGCAATGATTCCCAACTTTATATGTTTACATATCTGTTCACATCACCAGGAAAAAAACCAAAATGATAAGCAGCAAAATATTAATAATGGTTACCTACAAATGTCATGTATGAGAGAATACGTGTTACTTTTATAATCATAACACCAATTTTGTTTGTTCTTTTTGTTGGTGTAATTTGTTCTATGACATTTTATATGTGTATAAAATGCATTCTGGATACTTTGACCACCCCTGCTAACCCCCAAAGCCATGAATCTTTTCTCCACATTCATGTCTTTCTGTTTAATCTTGTGACTCACTGAGTTTAACTAGGGATGAGTGGCCATAAGTTTGGAACTATCAATAGCAGGGTGGTGGGCTCACCAGCATGTACACAACTGAAGACAATGACTGTGCCTTTCTCAGGGTCTTTCAGTAGTTGGTATTATAGCATGGAAGAAGTAATACCCCATG